AAAAAAAAGTAACATGTGCCAGAATCTCGAACAAGTGCACTTCTAAATTCGATAACCTTCTAAATTTCTCAGGGAACATGGAGTCAATTCAAGACAATGATAGACGTCATTCTTGGAGACCCAGGGGCAGTTAGTGGGGGCGGGTAAAAAGTCTAAACGGGTCTTCGCCCTAGCTTTTTTTCTCAGCCGTTTAGACTTTTCCCCGCTCCCACTAACTGCCCCTGGGTCTCCGAGGATGACGTCTGTAATGATTGTCTCGAATTGTCTCCATGTTAACTAATAAATTTATAACCCAATAGTGAAAAAATATTCAAGGTACACCAACCTCTATTAAGCGGCCAACCCCTATTAAGCGGCCACCTCCCATTTCCCCGAGGGTAGCCCACTGTATTATACGTAAACCAGAAGTAATTGCACAGCGCGAAAAGACCTAAGTACGAGTTTAGCGTTACGGTATTATGCAGGGCGTGTAGTTAGCGGTGGTCTAGTAAAAGATGTTAACACGGGCAATGGTTAACTATTCATACTTTTCATTGCTTAATTTAATCTCCTCCTATTCAACAAGATTGTGTGCTCCCTGTTTTTCCAAGCCTTACGGAACCTTACGTATTAGGATAGAAATTGTCGTACCCCTACCCCCTAAAATGGGACGACAGCATTGCGTGACGAACAAACAAGGAACCGCTGCAAGCAAGGATTCAAGCTGCAATAGATCAAACGATGATCAAACGTAATATTGTGGTGTAGTTTAGTTGACGCATGTCAGGAAATGGTCAGGAAAAATTCTTCAAGGGCAGAGAATTTTATTTTGATAACTTGACATTTTGAAGAAGAGTCATGAAAAACTGAACTAACTTTAACACGACTGATTAAATACCAGTAAAGGCTGGTAAAAAAAGCATTTGGGGTCTCTCTCATCTCCACTTTGTTGAAAACTGAAGTCTGACTGATCGGCCTTAATGAATTGGTAGAAGGGACGGCTTCTCATTAAAATTTGACATTTTTTCTATCTGTCTGTCTGTTTGCCTCTCTGTCTTTCTGTTTGTCTCTGTCTTTCTGTCAACTAAGTGTGAAAAAAACCTAATGAATGGAAATTTCCACAACAGTGCCATCAAATAAACAGGAGTTTTATTTATATACCCATAAAAACGTTTTTAAAGATATTTTGGTATCGAGTAAATAAACGTCTATGATGAACACACAGGAAACAGGTAAAAGAAAAAAACCTCAGACCGATCGTATGTAGCAAAAGCTAGTGTTTTCTACAACGTGCATGGTAAATCTACTTTCTGTCATCAAATGATTTGGCCCACGCATTGAATCACGCATCATCCTGGTGCAGTGATTCAATAGTTCAATTTCACAAAAACAGTGCGTTTCTTGTAGAAGCCATTACTGAAGTATTGTTAGCCACTTAGAAAGAAAACCAACATAAACTGATCCAGTGATGCCGGGAAGTTTCTTTTGGTATAGTTTTTCTCTCCAGTCATTGCCATAATCACGCTGTGGATGAAAGAAAAGAAGACTCAGAATACCATCGAACGTTATGAATTAGCAGCAAACCCTCTCCCCGCCCCTCTTCGCCACACCCCCGGATTGGTTTAAACTTTGACTTGGAAAAGAACTTTTGTTGATTACATGACCAAACTGCCTAGAGTCTGCATACCAGTCAAGTGGCCCATAAGGCCTAAGCTTATCCTGGTATATGTAGCATGAAGCGACTAGAATTATTTCTACTACCTCCGGGATGGATGCACCGTTTAATGAGCAGGACAGTGTCTTGGCCAGATTGATCAGAAGGTACCTGCAGGGTTATAATAGGCCTCTAATAGGCTGTATGTAAGCTGTTTGTGTTGAGCGGTGCGGTGATCAGGATTATTATTCACTTTTGTTAGGATTAAGTCAGCTCTACAGCTGTAAACGGCAGTGCCGTGCTTTGGATTGTTTCAAAATGGAAGAATATCAAAGCTGACCAGTGAAACTATCCCACTAAGTTTGTAAGAGGCATCACTTTGTGGCTAGTTGTCCATTAAAATTTCTTTTGAGGTGTTAATTGCTTCACGGTGAACCCCAAGACAAACGAAACATTGTGCGAGGACCAAGGAGGACCACAGTGGTTAAATTTTCACGGCGAGAAGTCCTCTTGTAAATTGTTAAAAAACACGTTTGCTAGATATTTTAATTTGAGTTATCAAAGAGGATCCCCAACAGGTTTGGCGGAATGCCAAACCTAGTCTTTCTGCTCATCTTGGTCGTAACAACAAACCAATGTTTATACTGTCTTTTATGGTTTTTACTGTTAATTTTTAAGACAGTTTCACAATTTAAAGTCGATAAAATGAGTCTAACTTTGCACCTATACGCTGCCCTGGGAGTTTGCAGTATAACCTCAACTCGAGGGACTTCACTTTATATTTGGATTCTTACTAAATTAAGTCACCTAGTGACATAAGTGCAAGATTAAATAAACAACTTTACCTTGAAATTAATAAATTTTCTTTTAGCTTAATGTTCCTTTTTTGCTCTTCTCAATCAACATATAAGCACAAACAAGATCAATCCCATGATCCTCTGGGCACTTAGCAACCTCGTTTTCGTACCGTTCAAACAACTCGTCGACTATCGCTTGTTTTTCTTCGGGTGCTCGTTTATCAGAGAGACCTACGGGTAAAAATAATGTAATGTAAAAATAAAATAACTCGTTTTCAATATGAAAAGAAAGAAATCACCACAGAGTGAAGGGGAATGTTTGTTCTACCACTGAATTACTAGGTAATTCATTTTGTTGCTCTCTTTTTGTACCAGTGCGAGTGTATTTAAAATATTTTCTTCAGAAATGTTTTAACCACCTTATTAGTTTCTGACTAAACTTGTTAATGACAATGATAAATGATAAAAGCTTTATTTAGCCACGGTATCCATTTCACAGGACAAAAAAATATGATCAAAACACACACATATAAGTACCTAGCTGACAGCTGAGCACTTGATTTACAAGCTTACTGACTTCCCTTAATATACAAACACCTGTTTCTTGAAAATGTCTTAGTCTTACCAGAAAGAAATGTCGAGTTACTCCAAGATCTCATGGCTGGAACGTACCAACGCGCATGCGCTTTAGGATCGCCACCATGTTTCAGCCATTTTTGCCTATAAGGGCACGGCACCGTTTTGGTTTCTATGGAGACTAAAGACAGGCCGGCCCTGCGAACGGGCGAGTCTCGGGATGTAAAAGGTATCTTGCATTTATCTGCTGTGCGTAAGTAATACGCGAATGTTGTTTCGTGGAATTCTTCCTGAAAAGGAAAAGTAAGCACTAGCTAACTGAGTAGCACTTAGACTGGCTAGCACTCTTGACTTTTTCAGCTACTAAATTATATACGACAGTTTCCATATTTCTTCCTTCAAATTAAAAATCAAACTTAGGTCCTGGTCTCAGCGTTTTTCTTTCTTAACTTTCAAAATCAAATTATAGCCGCAAAGCGGTGAGGGCTGTATCGCCTCACTGGATGAATAATCTGACCACCCACTACAACTCGTATTTTGCTATCGCAATTCACGAGTTAAAAATGAAAATTCCTTTTAGACCAGAGTACATTTAACTGCACTATGAAAGGGTGGTTTGATGGCTGAAGTCATTCAATTAGTAGCCATAAATGTGGATGAACAATAGCTGTTATGTAATGTATAAATCACAAGCCTCATCGTGTCACCGGGAGTTTGGAACTTCAATTGTAGGCCTGTCCAGATTGTGCTCATATAATGCTGGAAAGATATTCACTGGAATGCCAAAAACTTGCTAAAAAATTGCCAAAAATTCAAAAGTCGCTACCTAAATTTGAAAAGTTGCTGCCTATAAATTTATTGATATTTTTATGTACAATCCATCAAATATTTTAGCTCACGCACGATTGGTCTAAACGCGTCACATGACTTAATATTCCCTAATTTTCAAAACTGGGCGTGTTGCCAAAATTTATTTGAAGGATAAACACAATAGCGTCCATTTGGCTAGAAAGTATATGCTCGGATATTTGTCCGCGGACATTATCTGTTCCTCAAAGCTCACAGTTTTCCTCAAGCTACGCTCTCGGAAACTGTTCGCTTCTCTAAACAGATAATGTCCGCGGACAAATATCCAAACATATTTTTGCTTTAAATAGCTAGAGGCTACTGTTTATATAAACGATAATTAAAAGCTATAGTTTTCGTCCTTTTCAATAATTGCTGACATTGGTCAAGAACAATAGCTTGAAACTTAGCGTTAAAGAGTTGCTCGGAAATATGGGCGAAATTTAAGGACACTCTTACGTGCAGAGGAACAAAACACATGGTTCATTTGACTTTATTTCCGAACTTGCTAAAAAATTGCCAAAAATTCAAAAGTCGCTACCTAAATTTGAAAAGTTGCTGCCTATAAATTTATTGATATTTTTATGTACAATCCATCAAATATTTTAGCTCACGCACGATTGGTCTAAACGCGTCACATGACTTAATATTCCCTAATTTTCAAAACTGGGCGTGTTGCCAAAATTTATTTGAAGGATAAACACAATAGCGTCCATTTGGCTAGAAAGTATATGCTCGGATATTTGTCCGCGGACATTATCTGTTCCTCAAAGCTCACAGTTTTCCTTGAGCTACGCTCTCGGAAACTGTTCGCTTCTCTAAACAGATAATGTCCGCGGACAAATATCTAAACATATTTTTGCTTTAAATAGAGGCTACTGTTTATTTGAACGTCACTTAAAAGCTATAGTTTTCGTCCTTTTCAATAATTGCTAACACTGGTCAAGAACAATAGCTTGAAACTTAGCGTTAAAGAGTTGCTCGAAAATATGGGCGAAATTTAAGGACACTCTTACGTGTAGAGGAACAAAACACATGGTCTTGCGGAACGTTGTCGAGTGACAGGTTATGTCAAACTTCAAAAAGTTGATAAACATTAAAGAAATTTGCATAAATTGAAGTTTTCTATGAAATCGTTGACTTTTTGTGCTTGATATGTGCTCTAAACCAATATTTTGCTCAAAAGTTGCTCAGAGAGGCAAAACTTACTGGAGGTTGCTACAACGGCAAAAAAGGGTGCGTTAAAACTGAGGGTTCCCAATAGGTTTGGCGGGATGCGGGATTTGGCTTTTTTTCGCCGTGATATTTGGGATTTAAGCTGAAAACAGGGGCGGGAAGGGGGAATTACAATTACGAGTGGGAGCGGGATTTCATGTTTTTATGGGGTTGGGATCTGGGATTCGCAAGGGGAACAGAGCGGGATACGAGATTTCAATTCCTACGTGACCTCATAAATTGTTATTGACCAGCGCAAAAACCACAAGCTTGCAGAAACGAACCTTTTGTGCGTATAGCTGTGTCAGTTTTCAAGTAATGAATAAAAATTAACGGTTCTGTACCCTGTCAGGTTCTGTTAAACGTATCCACTATCGCTTGATTACGTTAGTATCGTGAGACTGTATGAGGTCTTTGAGTCCTATTGCGATCATTTGTGTAGCCTGCGTAGCTTGGCGGTTTTTAAGCGGCGAAGCCGCAATAACGAGCGCCAAAGCCGCGTTAAAAAAAATCCTTAAACCGCCAAGCTNGGGGGGGGGGGGGGGGGGGGGGGTGGTGTCTGGCAAAAAAATCTCCAGATTTTAGATCTCCAGAGGTTGGCATCTCTGCAAGCTACGCAGGCTATCATTTGCGTTCACCTCTGACATCAATGACATCTGTCCATTCCGACATTTTCGATGTTTGGGTCTGTAATCCCCCCGATCCTTTCTCCTTTTTCTACTCTTTCGACCTTTTCCAGAGCGCATGGCTTGTTTTGGTCAGGATGGCCTCACCGAATGGCGGTGATAGTGATTTCCCGAACGAAGTATGCGGCATTACGAAATTCCGTCACCATATATTACGAAAAGGATGTTCGAGCAGGAATGCCTTCATTCGGAAAGAAAAGTTCTGAGCTCAGATTTCAAGGAAAGTGAAGCCGCTGAAAGCTTTAAAAGAAACTGTCAAGTGCGTTTATGGGCCATCTCTTGAATGTGGGAATGAACAATCTTTTTCTTTCACTGATAAGTGAGCAAAAGAAAACAAAAGAGTAAACCGTTTACAGAAAGAGACGTTAGAATTATTTGTGCTTACTTATCTGCTACCCATTGAATTCTTTTTTGATATTTTATGCGATATCTATTTTTAAAAAGTTTCTGTGTTAATAATTAAACTAATTATTAATGTAACAAATTAATCATTAACGCAGAAACGTCTTTGTAAAGTAGGCGGGATCGGGATTTCCAGGCTAAAAAGAGCGGGATGGCGGTATTAACAGGAAAAAATGGGCGTGAAAGCGGGATCTGAGAACCCTATTGTGGACCCTGAACACTTTGATGCAGTACAATGAATTAATAAATTTTTTCATTCATTCATTCATTCGTTCTCTATTTCGTTCGTTCCTTTATTTATTCGTGCATTCAATCGACCAGCCAACCAACCAATCAACCGACCAGTCAGCCAGCTAACCACCCACTCTCCCACCCACCCACAAACACACAAAAGTCTTACCTGTGAAATCAAGCCGTCAGTTACTAATCCTTGCCATAAGTCTCTTAGTGTGTGATGTCTGGAGACCGGTGTGTCCTTTCCTTCGTAATGCCCTTTTTCGTTGACGACAGATTGCACTATAACAAGTCTACCTCCTTAAATAATGCAATAATCAAAGTTAATGTAGCTTGAAGGAAGTTGTTTTTTTAAAGTACATTAAGGTTTTTCCAAGTGGTATGGAGTTAGTCGGTTGGTCGGTCGGTCAGTCAGTTTGTTGGTAGAAGGGCTTTTTGGACTGATGCAGCTTGGGACAAAGTAGCTAATTCTTTCTGCTTTTAAAGGCGCTCGGTTACGGTATTTGGGGTTATTTTGGCTACTTACAAAATTACCATTAAATTCAAAGAAACCTAAAAACGTTTACTGCAATAAAAGAAAGCACCAGAGACAATTTTCAACCAAAAAGGAACAAGTATGGTGAAGACTGCCAGGGATTACAAACGACAAACTTGAAAAATTTAGGCTAAACCTTTTAAGATGCGCAACACTTACGTAGTTCCTTTAAGTAAAAGCCTCAGAGGCAGTTCATGCTTCGGCGCTCTAACCTGATTAAAGAGGCGCACCACTTTCGTGGAGGAAGTCGCAGTGTCCTCATGGTAAGAGCGCCCGTCTCTGGTTCGAGCAGTCCGGGTTCGAGCAAAGGCCAGGGCCATTGTGTTATGGTCTTGGGCAAGACACGTCACTCTCNGGGGGGGGGGGTGACCCTGCGATGGACTACCATCCCATTCAGGGGTAGTGGAAATACTCCTAGTCACTTCATGTCGCAGAAACCGGGATTAGCTCTAGCCTGATGAGCCACTTGGCTCGTATGCAGACTTTACCTACCTTTTTCTACCACCTTCGTGCAGTTTAGGAGTTGAACGCAAAAACAGTGAAGACATAATCGCTAAAGGGCCCCCAAATCCAGATACGCGTTATTAAAAGTGACGTCACAAAATGTCCGCCATCTTGAATACACCATCTTCAATTTCAATTTTTTTAACAAAGTCACGTGAGCGCTGAAAAGAAGAAGTAAATTGGGTGTCGTCATGTTAGATGCCGTCAGTGTGGTAGCTATTAATATGTTAAAGCTAGGGTGTTGTTTCTGTTGTTTGTTCTTTTGTTCTTTTCAAGGGTATCAATCTATTCATGTGAGACCTTGCGAAATTTGCTTTAAGCAACAGTAGCAGCAGCGGCAACAACAACAACAACAACAACAATGAGAGCAAAGTTAGTCCCGTTTTAACCCTCTCTATGTCACGAGAGCGCAGCGTCGTGTGACAGAGAGAGGAACAGAACTGGACTAAAGCAAAGCTCGTGACGTAGATATTACCTGGGGCCAGCTCCTTTGCTCTTGCCAATAATATTGTTTCCCAGTCTTTCGCCGCTTGTTCCTCGAACTTCTCTGCCTCATCCTTAACCGTTATCATGGGTTGGTGTAGTGCTCCTGTAATGTCGCACGGCTTTCTACTCAACCAGTGAAAGGCCATGGAAGAAAATCCTAAATTAACTGACTGCGGGGGGAAGCATTCATCGAAGAAGTTTGTTCCACAAGCCGTGACGAAAACATTTGGGAAGTCTAGAAAATAGCTTTTTGGACCTGGTATAAGACCTGCAGAGAAATTGAAACTCGAGCGTTACTCGCGGGAGACAGAAACATTCAGCAAGCAACTTCAATCCCGGGTTGGAGGGGGGGGGGAAGGGAAAGGGGAATCCCATATAAAAAGGACGGGGATGCTCATCGTACGGTTTAGGAGTTAAAAAAAAAAACAGTTTTGGTTCCTCTAACGATGTTTAGCCTCAAAAGTACCTTTTAGGGTATTGATTTTAAAAAAAAATTGTTGTTTTATAAATTGGTTCCTCTTAAGGTGAAAACAATTTCAAGCTACGCCCACAAAACAGGATCTTAGTGCGTCTTAGAGGTTCTTCTCAAAATTTTCGACGAGTAGCTCCGTCCTCAGTCTATATGGGAGTCTCCCCGTCCGGGCTTCTCTTTGCCTCATTTTCCATTCATTCATAGTTTTAGAAAAAAGTTAAAGAAACAGAAACAACAACAACAACAACAAACAAAACAAAAAAATCAAGCAAAACCTAACTTAAGATAAATTGAAGGAGGAAATCTAAGTTATTGACATATAGTGATTACTAAATGCTGATTATCTTAACTCTAGTTAGCTTGGGGGGAGGGGGAAGGGGCTCTTTGTCCTTGTCGTCACTTTATACCAAAATGACCTCACACATTTCGAAATGTCTGTAATATATTGCCGATTAATTGGGATGTCCATAAATCTGATACTTTTATGAGTACAAGTGCTGAGTACGTCATCAGGTGCCTAGTGTAATATTCTAATCTGGGTATTGTCATCAATGACATGGCAATAAGTCACGGGGAATCACTCTGGCCTGGGAAAAGCCCAAGACCAGGCGAAAATAGAAGCGGACTGCTACAAAGATTAAGCCCGACTTACTCGTTGGATGGGAGGGTGGCTTTCGCGGCCTCGAGTATAGAGTGATGGAGTGGAACACGTGTAAATTCTTTTATACCGTCATTTGCAAATGAGTTTGCATAGCGCACCGTGGGTCACCAGCTGGCGGAAATTTCATAACAACATTATTTTAATGAACTTACCCTGCAAACGTAGAAACAGAGACTTGAAGTCGTTGACTGGTTGATCCTCATAAATCACGCTCAGAGGTACATCATCGCCGTGAATTTTCCTTAGCTCTTGCACGCATGCGTAAAGTAAAGTCATGGAAGTACCACCATCAGCACAACCATAGTCACAAATGGTGAACACGGATCCGGGCTCAACGGTGGCTGACTTGATAACGTCCAAAACAAGAGGCACCGCCTCAAAGATCACGTCATAGCAGCCAAGTTCATTGTCTGAGTAGTACCCAGAACCTTCTGGGCATTGCAGGATGTGACTATGGGGAACCTAAAGAGACCGATTGAGGGCTTAGCTCTTTTCATCTGATCGATCTTCGACTGAAACACAGGACGCATGAAGACAATATATAGACAAATAGATTGCCAAAAGGTCTGGATAGTAGGTAAAGGTAAAGGTAAAATCTGCATACGAGCCAAGTCGCCCACCAGGCCGGAGCTTATCCCGGTTTCTGTAGCATGAAGCGAGTAGGAGTATTTCTACTCCCCCCTGGATGGGATGCTAGTCCATCGCAGGGTTACCCCCAGCATTAAGTTCGCCGGTACCCATTTATACACCTGGGTTGAGAGGTACTGTGAGAGCAAAGTGTGTTGCCCAAGAACACAACACAGTGACCCCGGCCAGGGCTTGAATCCAGAACGCTGGATCCGGGGACGAGCGCTCTAACCATGAGGCAACCGCTCCTCCCACCTGGATAGTAGCAGACATGTTAAAATTTTGAGAAACAGCACAACAGCACAATTTAAAAACATGTTTCAGCAGAATCTTGTGTCATCTTCAGTTCAATTACAAAGTACAGAGTTGAATATAAAGCGTGCGCAAAATGCTAATTGACTATAAGAACAAAAGGAAACATGACAATGTTTAACGTCCGCTAGAAATTAGACAGTTAAATTCACAATGAAAATTAACTAATGAGCGCGCGAGAATTTCTGCAGTTATCGTAAAGAACGTGATCGAATGAGACGGGCGTGATCTGGACATCACGGGACGTGAAATACTATGCGACCGCAAGCGGATTTTCATATCGGATTCTGGTGTCGGTTGGCGTTTGCACACGCAGAATTTTTACCTGGGTAGGTAAACTCCAATACCTTGGTAAAACGCTCAAGTCTAAACACGGCAGGCATTAAAAGGTGAATGATTTTCTGTACATAGAAGTGCAATCACTGAGTTTTTTATGCTTAAACCGTCGCATTGAACGAGGAATAATCTATATGTGCCTCAAGTCTTAGGTCTATAACCTTATATATTTATTTCGCGACGTTTTGAGCGTTATAATTTCGGTCGTGAGTCATCTCAAACTGATCATCCGAATCTGGAAAACGTTGTTTTATTTTAACTAAGCATTGTTTCCTGTGACAGTAAAACAAGTTTTAAATTACCATTTATTCGGTCTTTTATCAATTTGTGGCTTCCCTGCTTGCAGGTATGTGCGGCCCCAAAGGGTATGGTTTTTCATCCGTTTTGGTCATAAATAGGGTATCGATTTTGGCCATTTTGGCCATAACTAGGGTATGGTTTTTACACTCTAGTCTTGATATGTGCATGTTTTGATGAAGATGCTACTTTTTCATCATTATCAATAAGACCATCAACAAAAGCCCTTCACAAATTATGTTTATGGCAATTTAACATTGGTCTGAACTAAGGGCACTTATTATAAGGCAGGTCTGAAACAGGGTATTGATTTAAGGGCCAGGTCATAAATAGGGTACGGAAAATCACAGATTTTGGTCATAACTAGGGTGAGGGTTTTGGGGCCGCACACTCCCACCCAAATTTTCTGGGGGTACCCCCGGGGTCATTAAGGAATACTACGTACGAATTTACTTTCGCTGGTTGACATCCTCTTTGCTGCGTTCCACTTTGTCTTTTTACTCAGCTGATCTTTCTCCTGAGAAAGACGGCGTGGGTTAAAGAGTTCACCGGCAAGGAAATCATGGGCAAGAATCAAACTTTAATCGCTGCTTGCCTCAGGGACCTCTGAAAAAGAATGATGAGTAATCAAATAAAAGGTAATGTCTGCATACGAGCTAAGTGGCCCATTGGGCCGAAGCTTATCTCGCGGGTTTCTGCTGTAGCATGAAGCGACTAGGAGTATTTCTACTCCCCCCTGGATGGGATGCTAGTCCATCGCAGGTTACCCCCAGCATTAAGTTCGCTGGTACCCATTTAAACACCTGAGGGGAGCGAGGCACTGTGAGAGTAAAGTTTCTTGCTTAAGAACACAACGCAATGTCCTGCAATGTCCCCGGCCAGGGCTTGAACCCGGACCGCTTGATCCGGCGACCAGCCACCGCGCCTTCATTGATTAAACAATTCCAATTATTTGTTTGCATTTCTAGTTTTTAGTTAGGGTCGTGGAATACATTTATACGAATTATAAAAGGAGCTGGCACAATCACGTATACTTTCTACACATGCAGTTCAGGCCGTCATAGTCTCTGCTTGACAACGATGCTGAATGATTACGCCATTCATCTGGGGGCGGGACTTTCTGCAGTCGATGAAACTGATCAGGAACGAGCCATTAGCGGGAAGAAACAAAGAATTAAACAATTACGAAGATGAAATCGATGCAAAGTGAAATCGCCTCGAAATAAGTGTTAACCAGAGTCACGGCATCCTTGGAAACTAGCGAAGGTCGACTTATGGCAGGTCTATAAGGGACAGATCGTCGGAGCGAGACGAAGAAGACTGAGCGGCGAAAATAGTACGACGAAAGTTCAGTAGTTCACCCCTAATGGTATCACGAAAGACTTTAAGAAATATATTAACATCCTGTGTCCCAAACGTGAGCTCAACATAACAGAACCTGATGTTGTCGAATTGTCGAACGTTATCGACCTAATGCAGATTGGTGTGACCAAGATATTGTCTGTCAAGTCACGCCAAGTGTTATATATATTATGGAGCGAGACAGGGTCATCCAACTAAAGCTAATCGTGATTTGAACATTATAATTGTTTTCACCCAGCAATACCTAATAACATTTTAAATCAAACTAACTAGTTCGAGAAAATGTCCCTCCGTCTGATCAAAAGCGGACGTTATTACCAAGCGGCGGGTGATATTCATCAGACGCGAGATTTTGGGTTCTTTATAATGTATGCACAGAATTTGGTTTCTTCTCACGCAGACATATTTACCTACGCAGCCGTTGTCAGCGATCATTCGCAAGTTTCCTTTCTGTATCTACGCTAAATTATCTTGTCGCGGATTGCATTTTATATGACAAAAAGAAAATCATTTGTAATCGATATAGACAGTCACATAATAAAATATCCTGTAGATATATGTGAGATGCTTTCCGCGCTGTTTACATCTAGAATTTCAATTTCAGTTTAATTTGCATATTTTATAGCAAAGTAACCGGCCACTGACCCTTCAGTCCTGCTTGCAGTAGATTGGAAACTAAGCCTTCTATGCAACTGAGCCCGACGATTGTTGTACAAGATGTGAGATCCACTCTGATTGGTATCCTCTGGCTTACCTATGCGCATAACCATAGATCATTCATTGCGCAAACTTCTCGGTCACGCAACGCTTGCAGCTCTGTCACGCAGCCGAAAACCAATACGGTTTCTCTCGTGAACTCGCTGAACTTGAACGGCTCGTTATAAATGAGAGTTTCCCTTCATTTTGCGTGTAGCTTCCATCCAGGGTGAGCAGGGAAACTACTCCCTGTTCTTACGAATATCATTGACCTATCTCTTGAATGGGTCTTGAATCTGGCGTCTTTGTAGAGGATTTGAAGAACGCTTTAGTACACCCTCTTCTCAAGAAAGCAGGTCTTGAACCTATCAACAAAAACTTTCGACCTGTGAGCAATTTGCAGGTTACGTCCAAGATTGTGGAAAAGTCTGTCGCTATCCAAATGCAAGATCTTATGGATGGCAGCCAACAGCTTATTTCCAGATCTCCAGAGCACGTATCGTCCAAATCACAGCACTGAGACTGCGTTACTGAGAGTCAAAAATGAATATGGACAAGGACAAATATGGACAAGGGTCACGTAACCTTACTTGTCATATTAGATCTCAGTGCAGCGAATGGTATCGTAGACCATGGCATACTTCTGAACAGGCTGCAGATCAAGCTTGGACTGTGGGGTAAGGCTTTATCATGGTTTAAATCCTATTTAGCAGGAAGAACGCGACAGGTCTGTAAATGGAACGCTTTCTGAGAAATTCAACCTGGACTCCCGCAGGGCTCGTGCCTAGGCCCCCTCTTATTCATCATCTACGCGAGTCCGTTGTTTGATATTCTGAAATCCCATCTGCCATCCGTTCACACCTACGCGGATGATACACAGCTATAGATTTCGTTTAATCTTGCTGATAACTCCAGTGAGGCTGAGGTTGTGACTGTGATTGAAAATTGTATCCGTGAGGTTCGCATATGGATTAGGGATGATACGCTGTCCTTAAATGATGACAAAACTGAGTTTTTGATCATTAGTACAGAACGACAGTTATCCAAGGTGTCTGTTGTCAAGATTAAGGTTGG